AAACAAGTTCTAGAATCAAGCCTCCCTGTATTATAAGACTAATAGAAGGAGAATAGTTAGGAGAGAAAAAAACTCTAAGATATTGTATATAATTTATAATTTTTTTTACTTACTAAGTGATTTATAGCTACATTAATTAATTTAAGTGCTTTAAGTACTTTGAGTAATTAAGCTACTTGCGAGCCTATTCAAAGTACTTAGAATAGCTTAAGTTTCTTAAATTAAAGCTAGTTTTCTAAGTACTTAAATTTTCTTCTAATAACAAGAAGCTTAAGTAAGCTAAGTATTTAGAGCTAGTCGAGCTATAAAATAAAATACTAATATTAGTAAGTAAGAAAAGTGATTCTAGATAAAGCTCTATATCTATCTTAACTAGTATAATAAAGCGAGTTTAATAGAACTAGTTTAGTGGATAAACTTTTAATAAAAAGAATTTTTATCCGCTTGATTTTTAAAAACGTAGATATATTATCTATTTTTAATAAGAAAGTAAATGTTAAGCGAGAAAGAAAACTCTAAGATTTTTCTATAATATATATTCTTTTACTTACTAGTAATGTTAATTCTCTCTAAGAGCTCTCTAGTACTATAGAAAAAATTTAATATATAGAGCTACTTAGAGCACTTAGAGTCTCTAAGTAACTATATTCACTTATAATAAAGTATTAATATAAGATAATAAAAGTTACTATAAAGATTAGGATTCTAATTAAGACGATAAAGAATAGAGTTAAGATACAATAAAGATGGATTAATCTTACTTAGAAATAATCAAATAAGTTATTAGAATAAAAGATTTTATTTTAAATCAAGTATAAAATCTTTAAAAGAAAAACTCTTACTATCTATATACTAGACTTATTCTTATAATTTATATAATCTATAGTATCTATAGTTCTCATAGATAGTATAGATAATCTAGATAGCCTTAGTAACTTTACTTAGTATAACTTAACCTTAGTACTAGGCTTAGATTATAATACTACTTGCAAGTAGCTTATAAGTATACTAAAATACGTAGAGTACTCTAGATATCTAGAATATCTAAACTATTTAGATTATCTAAAGTATTTAAGCTATCTAAAATATCTAAAACATCTAGAGCTAAAGTATAGTAGATTTAGTATACTAAATCTTACTTAGTTAGTAGCTAAATTTTGTTTAAAAATGGTTTTAATCTAATTTAACTAGTATAGTAGAGGGAGTGTATAAAGCTAGTTTAAAGAGTAAACTTTTAATTAAAATAATTATTACTAACTTACTTTTTAAATTTATTAATATTTTAGCTCTTTTTACTAGTAGGTGAATGTTATGTAAGAGTAGATTCTCTAAAAAATATTAGAATTTTAGGCCCTTAGATAATAGGAACTAAACTAGTAGAGAGCTTAATATTTTGTCTAG